TACTCCATACTTACCATCACCTGTCCCAAGTCTTTAGTCAATAGCTTTAAGTCCCAAATAAGCTCAGGAGTATAAACGATATAACATCACCATCAGTGGCTCTAAAATGAAACTTCATGTCTCACATAGGACACAAAAATCTCTTAATCTCAAAGGCTTGTTTGCTTTCTGTGTGTAGCATAAAAATTCCTATCCACAGAGGTCCATGGATCTTGCTCTACCTCACCCAGGTTTCTTCTTAAATGTCACCTCCTTGGAATGGTGTGCTGGTGGCCACCTGAGTTAAATTAAGGCCACTCTCAAGCCCGTGGTTACATAGTCCATTATCATGCTCTATTTCCTTTTGTCATTTCTCACCAGCTACTGGATTATCAAATTACAATTCCTAGTCAGACATAACAAATATCTCATTCTAGATAGGGAACAAGAACAAATCAATGGATACAATCAAGGTTTAACTTGGTGAACCAATAAGTTGCTTTGGTTGAGGCATTAGTTACAAGAGCAGACATGACTGAGATAAATCACAGAAGTCCACCCCAGCATGGATGACAGCTGGAACCTGGAATTCACCACCCGACCTACAGGTAGCTCAACAAGTCAGAGAGTCCTGGTAGTCCACTTGGTTTCTGTTCACTGGTCCCTGGTTCTTCAAGGCAGTTTGGCTTTGTCACTGTTTAGTCTAGGAAGTGCAGCGTGTCTCGTTCTTCAGTGCAGCACAGTTGCCCTCTTTCTCTTCCATGCTGCTGAGACAGCATGATTATCTTCCAGGCAGCAGAGCTGGTCAGAGCTACTGGGCAGCTGAGCCTTCTCAGTGTCTTGCCACACTGCTTAGATAGCCCTGGGGAGGGAGGGACCTAGTGAATCTGGTCAGTTACAAGAACTTTCTGAAGCCTTTGAGTTGCTTTATTTCCTGAGCTTAAGGAGCTACCCTGAAGGATGGTCTTCAACCTTTCTAATGCTGTAACCCTCATGTTGTGTTCCTCCTGTTGTGCTGACCCCCAACCATAAAATTATTTTGTTGCTACTTTATAACTCTAATTTTGCTACTGCTGGGAATTGTGATGTCAATATCTGGTATATAGGATCTGTGGTATGCCACCTCCAATGGGTCGCCACTCACAATCTAAGAACCACTGCTTTAGAACATGCTGCTTTGCCTCCCTTTTTTAATTCTCTCATATGTTTCATCCCAACTGTAGTTTTCCTTCCCTCATCTCCACCCAGTCTCTTCCCATACCTCCCCTCTTTCCTGCCCCATCCATACCTTCTCTGTTTCTCTTCAGAAAAGGGCGGGCCTCCCATGGATATCATCCCAACATGGCTTATCAAGTTGCAGTAAGACTAGGCACTCCTCCCCCATATTAAGGCTGGACAAGGTGACCTAGTATGAGAAAAAGGTCTCCAAAGCAGGCAAAGGAGCCAGAGACAGCCCCTGCTTCCCTTTTAGGGGTCCCACAAGAAGACCAAGCTACACAACCGTAACATAACATATGCAGAGGTCTAGGTCCATTCCATGCATGCTCTCTGGTTGGCAGTTCAGCCTCTGTGAGCCCCTACGAACCCAGGTTAGTTGATTCTGTGGGTTTTCTTATAGAAAAATAATGTACCTAATAGATGTTATGACTCAAATGGACCTAACAGATATCTATAGAACACAAAGGATATGCCTTCTTAGCACTAAAATCGACCACATACTTGATAGCAAAGCAAGTTTCAGTAGATACAATAAAATTGAAATAACCCCGTGAATCCTAACAGAACAACACAGCTTAAAGCCCTTTTACCTTCTTAAGGAAACCTTGTGTCTTAATAGGCTTCCCTCCAAGGTGGAAAGTTTTAATCCTGAAGGAAAGTGCTTCATAACGTTTGTTTTTTTTTTTTTTTTCTATTATACCACAACAGAAGTCCCAGTACTTCACAAACTTCTACCAGGAGAGTCAGATTTACCTCTCTAAACAGCCGTCTAATCTTAAAGCAACTAGACAGAGCTGCGTGGAAAAGGTACTCAGCAAGAGTAAACTTTTCTCTAATCCTGAAGTTATCCTGGTTGTTGGAAGACTGCTTTTGCTCTTGAAATCAATTTGTTTTGTTGGTTTTTTAAATTGATTTTTAACTAAATTTATTCTTTGACTTGAAGCATCAAACATAAAATTGTACATGTATAATTAATATGAAATGTGATGTTCTGATACATGTTATACATTGCATACTTTTCAAATCAGGTTAAATACATCTGTCCCAAACATTTCTTATTCATGGTGAAAACACTGAAAATACTTTTGTCTTAGTTATAGTTCTATTTCTGTGAAGAGGCATCATGACCACAGCAACTTTTATAAAAGATGAACATGTTGTTGGGGCTGGTTTACAGTTTCTGAGGTTTATCCATTTGTCATCGTCATCACAGGAAGCATGGTAACATACAGGCTGACAGGGAGATGGAGCTGAGAGTTGTAGAAGAATTTTAAATACAGCAACATGGGTGCTCTGGCAATGGATCACGTCCAAAGACCTAGGTCTGTGTGATGAAGCTAGAATACAGACATGCCCTTAGTACACACCTTTAGTCCTGCTGGCTGGAATATAGACACAACACATCTTTATTCCCTCTGAATGGAATTTAATCCTATAATCCAAAACAGTGATGTCTAATTGAGGGTCAGACAAAATGAGGAACCAGAGAAAGATTTGACAAAATGAGTCAGAGATAGAATATACCCAACACTCATGAGACTAGGACAGGAAAGAAAGACTACTTCAGAGCAGCACACAGGAGAGAGGAGGGGAGGGACAGAGAGAGAGAGAGAGAGAGAGAGAGAGAGAGAGAGAGAGAGAGAAGTTATACCAAGAGTTCCTTGCTGGGGCAGTTTTATAAAGACAGATTGCAAAGAGAACTAGCTAGACCTAGACACAGGTAAAGACAGAATGAACCAGAAAATTAGAAGGACCCAGAAATTAAAACATATTGCCAGAATTAGTTTGAAAAATTCAGTCAGAAGCTAAATGAAGCCAGTTTAAGTCTGTCAGATTGGTGAGAACTTTAGGCCAGAACAGCTGAGTTGAATCACACAACAACAGTTCAGAAAGAACTAAAGAGGCTTGGGAATGGCTCTCATCTCATCCTATCATTTTAGGAAATAAAAATGACATTTATGTAGAGTTCTACATTTTGATCTTCAGGCAGCAAGAAAAGACTGTATGTCACATGAGCATAGCTTAGGCATAGGAGACCTCAAAGGCCACCTCCATGGTGACACGCATTTCCAACAAGGCCACATCTCCTAAAAGTGCTACTGCCTATGAGCCAAACATTCAAACACATGAGTCTATGAGATACATTCCTCTTCAAACCACAACTTTCTTCTACTTTTTAAAAATATACACACATAGTCTACGTAAACATACTTATAATGCTACTATTTAGTAAGGTCTTTGTTGCTGTTTGGATTTTTCTTAGTGCTGAGGATTAAATCCAGGGCTTCATATGTGCTATAAAAGCTCTGAACTATCCTCACAGACCTTTTGTTGTTGTTGCCTTCAAAGAAAGAAAATAAGAAGAAAGATTTTTTTTTTTCTTCCCAGGTTCAGAAAATCAAGAGGAAACAGTAATGAGCTCTCAGGAATCATTTGAACAGCAGGAAAATCCAGAGCATGTTGGCAAGGAAGAGATCTCAAAGGAAAGCATCATTTCCACAAAACTGGACAACAGCTATTCAGTGAAGGAACTATATGCTCCAATGTTTCTGAACCATATAATATGAAGTATTATCACAGTAGTAGCATGGTAGTATATACGTTGGCACCTCAGCCCTTAACACGTATATCAGGGGGTACTCCTTTCTCTCACTTTCAAGATGGTTCATACAAGAAACTTAGAGTGATTTTAGGAGAAAGGCATGAGGTTTGATGGGGAAATACTGAGGTAAGAAGAATATCAAAAGATTTGGTGTTTGTGTAATGGATGTGGGAGACTTAAAGAGAGTCTTGGGACTCACGGTAAATAAGGCAAAGATGAAGCATGTGGGGCTTCCAAGCTAAAAGGCCCTATGTGGCAGATAGAGGCCATGAGGCCTCAAACAGGACACTGTTCTTTCTCTGGACTCAATCTTAAAGTGTTTCTAATCTCTTACTAAGCCTTACATGAATAAATTAACAAGAACTAGGGCAATTAAATATATGGTTGTCAACAATAACCAGGTACTGCCATATGGCAAAGACTTTCCTGCTTTGGTGTTTATAGGTGCTGGTATTTGTGAACGGCGTTCCTGCCTCATCTTTCTCATGGTCAGAGATGCTCATGGTTTATTCTTCTTGCAGCTTTAACGATTAAATCATGGCCCTCATGTTTCCTTTCCTATAACCAAGTGGCTTATTTCAGAGAACCCGGCCCCACATTGTTCCAGACTCACAGTTGTATTTGCAATATTTATTGAGTGCTAATTGGGTGCCTGACCTTGTATTAGCTACTGAAAACGACTTCTACTACTGTTGATTTATACAGGTATACTCTGTGTTTTGGGCAGCTCCACGTTCCCCCAATGCCCCGCATTCCCACGGGAAAACTTGACTCTCATCTTTCTAGTCATCAGCGATACACAGAAATCGAGTTTGTTTGTGACATACAATGTGATAGCTCCCCACCTTGGCAGTGCAGTGTAGAAGCCAAACACTGCTGTTAGCATGGGGAACTAAGTATGGGTATTCCTTCTCACATCCATTGGAAGTGTCCCACCCCATTCAACTGTTACATTTATTACGGTGAGTCAAGCATAGTGGCCCTAAGAAATCCCCATAGATTCCCCATATAGAAACTTAAGATTTTAGACAAATGTTTATTTAAATCCAGAAGTTCCAGAAGCAAAGGAAAACAAGTATGGCCCTATCTCCCTTTCTGCGTAGATAAAGAGGTTTTTTGGAAAATGTATTACCTGCTTTTGCCTGACTCATTCTCTCTAGTATGGCTGAGAACAGATTGACCAGGGACAAGTTTAGGCAAGTACAACTTTATTTATTCACCTTGCAATAAAGATATAAACACCCATACAGAAAAGCACCTTTTTAATCATTTCTTCTACTCCCTTTCTGCGGAGATAGCTCAGTGTTCTTTCATGGCAAACATCGGTTTAATATTATCAAATACATAAATAACATTCTCTAAAAAAATGGTGATCACCACCCAGAAGCTGCTGATTTTGCTCACATTCTTCATCTACTCTAAACTCATTTCCCATTTGTCCAGCATGTCCAGTCATACAAATATGCCACAGAGCTGTTTGCAAGGACAGTTTGTAAAGGGACTACTTCAAGGGGTCTCAGGTCTATTATCCACGTCTTCAAGTTTTTGGTCTTTTCCACTTTGAAGAGAGAAAACAAAACAAAACAAATCATAGTTTGTACAAATAAAGAACAGTAAGTTGAGCCAGGCTGGTCTGACTTTTGGGGGAAAAAATTAACTACCAAATTAAATATTCAGGTGTTTTTGTTATAGAGATAAGAAACTCATTGG